TACAGGGAGAAACTGAGTTTTGTGACTTCAGAGCCAAGGATAAAGGAATAGCCACCACTGTCCCTGTATTGAGCCATCCCCCACACAAAACCAGCATGGGGGGGGGGTATCGCTCCTGTGCTGAGCCCTCCCCACACACAGCCAAATCTGAATCTGCATTAGCCTGGTGAACTCCACTTGCTCCACCCTGATGACTCCCTGACACGCTGCCCCACGAACAAGCACATCACCAGAAACTCTTTTGGCAGTTAGCCTTAGCTCATGCTACTGTCTTTTTAAAAAATGAATTTGGCAAGGTAGCAGGATACAAAATTAACACCTGAAAATTGACGGCATTTTTATACACCAATAATAAACTCTCAGAAAGAGAAAGTAAAACAACAATACCATCTATCATAGCGACAACAAAAAAATAAGATACCTAAGGACAGAATTAACTAAGGATGTAAAAGAACCACACTTGGAAAACTACAGGACACTGAAAAAAGAAATAGAGGAAGATACAAACAAGTGGAAGAATATACCATGTTCATGGATTGGTAGAATTAATATCCATTAAAATGTCCATACTACCCAAAGCAATCTATAGATATAACCCAATTCCTATTAAAATACCAACAGCATATTTTATAGATCTCAAACAAATACTCCAAAAATTTATATGGAACCAAAAAAGAGCCCGAATAGCCACAGCAATTTTGAGAAAGAAGAACAATGTCAGAGGGATCACAATATCAGATATCAAACTATCCTACAAAGCCACTGTAATCAAACAGCCTGGTATTGGTACAACAACAGACATATAGATCAGTGGGACAGAACAGAGACCCCAGAAATAGACCCAAGCCGTTATGGTCAGTTAATATTTGACAAAGCAGACAAGAGCACACAATGGAGTAAAGACAGTCTCTTCAATAAGTAGTGCTGGGAAAATTGGACAGGTACATGCAAAAAAAATGAAACAGGAACACCAACTTTCACCACACACAAAAATAAACTCAAAATGGATAAAAGACTTAAATGTAAGCCACAAAAACCATAGAAGTCCTGTAAGAAGCTAAAGGCAGCAAAATCCCAGACATCTTTTGTAGCAATATATTTCCTGATACATCTCCTAGGGCAAGAGAAACAAAGGGGAAAACAAACAAATGGGACTGCATCCAAATAAAAAACTTCACAGCAAAGGAAACCATCAATAAAATGAAAAGGGAGCCCACTGTATGGAAGAACATACTTGCCAATGACACATCTGATAAGGGGTTAATATCCAAAATATATAAGGAACTCATACAACTTAACAAAAGGAAGACAAGTAATCCAATTAAGAAATGGGCAAAGGACCTAAATAGATATTTCTCCAAAGAGGACATACAGATGGCCAAGAGACATATGAAAAAATGCTCAATGTCACTAATCATCAGAGAGATGCAAATTAAAACCACAATGAGGTATCACCTCACACCTGTCAAAGTGGCTCCATCAACAAGTCAACAAAAGGGGAACCTAGTACACTGCTGGTGGGAATGCAGACTGGGGCAGCCACTATGGAAAACAGTATGGAGATTCCTCAAAAAATTAAAAATGGAGCTGCCATTTGACCCAGTGTCCCACTTCTAGGAATATATCCTAAGAAACTAGAAACACCAATCACAAAGAACTTATGCACCCCTGTGTTCATAGCAGCTCGATTTGCAATAGGTAAGCTCTGAAAACAGCCCAAGTGCCTATCGGTAGATGAGTGGGTAAAAAAGCAGTGGGACATTTACACCATGGAATATTTGCAGCTGTAAAAAAGTAGGATCTTGCCCAGCCAGCGTGGCTTAACGGTTGAGCATTGGCCTGTGACCCAGGAGATCGAGGTTGGATTCCCCATCAGGGCACATGCCCTGGTTGCCCGCGATCCCCAGTAGGGGTGTGCAGGAGGCAGCCAATCAGTGACTCTCTCACCATTGATGTTTCTTTCTCTCTCTCCCTCTCCTTTCCTCTCTCTGAAATCAATAAAGATGTATTTAAAACAAACAAATGAACAAACAAAAAAAGAAGGATCCCTTACCCTTTGGGACAGTATGGAGGGACCTGGAGAGTATTATGCTACCTGAAATAAGCCAGGCAGAGAAAGACAAACATCACATGATCTCACTCATATGTGCAATCTAAGGAACAAAATAAACTGACAAACTAGATAGGACCACAGACCTGGAAGCGTGAAATAGATGGACTGACCTCAGAGGGAAGGAAGGAAGGAGGGTGGAAGAGATTAACCAAAGGGCTTATAAGCATGTATGCACACCCAGGGACACACAGTAGACAGGGGAAGGCCTGGGAGGGATGGGAGATGGGTGTCGGGGGCACAGGTTGGAAAATGGGAACGTCTGTAATACTCTCAACAATAAAATAAATTTTTAAAAAATATTATCACATCGTTAATCATTAGGGAAATTCTAATTAAATCCATAATGAGATACCAGCTCACACCCACCAGAATGGCTGTAAGAAAGGCCGAAACACACCACTGTTGCTGGAGACACGGAGGAGCCGGGGCCCTTGCCCTTTGCTGGTGACCGTGTAGAACAGAGCAGTCGTTTTGGAAAAGCTTCGTCATGTTCCTAAGGTACGGCAAACGCAGCGCAGGACACGGCAATTCCACGTCGATATCCACCCAAGAGAAATGAAAACATGTCCACAAAACCCGCGAGCGCGGAGCTTCACAGCAGCACCACCGGTTACAGTCGG